CTCCGCTATGTGCTAAGTGTTCGAACGAGTGCTCGAGGTTTGAACCTGGTGGTTCTGTTGTTGTGTACTGAATCGATCCGTCTCCTTTTTTGGGAGAGAGCGCATCCCCTTTTATAGATGAAGGGATGACCTTACAAGAGAGAGAGAGAGAGAGAGTACGTATGCTAAGTCTTGTTGCCCACGCCGTCGGGTACAGGATGATTGTAGGCGCCCATAACACTGTTTATGTCAGATGCATGTGGGAGGTTGCGTTGTCTTCTTCCAGTATGGCAGACGTCGGTGCCTGCCATACTGTTGATGCCCAGAGGCATGCAAGGGTTTTACCGTGCTCGCCTGGTAGGGTAAATGTCGGCGCCACAACACTGTTGATGCCCAGAGGCACGTGGGGGGAGCCTTACCGTGTTTGTCTGGTATGGGAGTTAATGGCGCCCACAACACGGTAGGGTAAATGTCGGCGCCCACAACACTGCTTGGGTTCTTACATGCCAGGAAGGGTGCAGGGTACCATTCTGTCATGCCCTGTTGGGGTACGATCCTTGGTATTGCGGTTGACTTGAGTGCCCTGCCTTACTCTCTCTGTCCGTTTCCTGGTCCTCACCGAGCGGGCGTCCCCGGTCGGTTGGTCCCAGTCGGCTCTGATTGCGCCAGTCGGAGAAGAACTATAAGCAGGGGTTCGGCGCATCCCCGGTCGGAGACGCGGGTCGGAGTTGGAAGTGGTGTTTGGCCAAGCCTTTCGGTCGGAGAGGACATCCGAAGGTGTGCCGGAGTCGGAAGCGAGTGCTCCGGTCGGAGAGGCGGGCTGGGGTCGGAAGCGGGCGCCGTTCCTCCTCGGCCAGGCCTTCCGGTCGGAGATTGGATCGCCCTTATGGCCTGTCGTTTAGGTATTTGGGCCGGCCCAGGAGTTGCGCGTTGTTCGCAACATTGTCTGCTGGGCCGAGCCTTTTGTTGGGAAGCCGGTCCATGAGGGTCCCCGGGTTTATGAACCCGACACCTCTCCCTTCTCCTTGGCCTCAAAGTCGTGCAATGCACAGAACGTCGCCATCAGGAGAGTGGCTTCATCATCATCATCAGCCTACGCCAAATGAGTCTCTGCCTTCTTCTCCTGCTTGCTATTTGGGCACTCCTTTGCCCAATGGCCTGTCTTCCCGCAGCGCCGGATAGGCGTTGGGATCGATCTTCTTCTTCTCTGAAGAAGCCTTGCCGCGGCGCTTGCTGTCGCCACTGCGGCTGGAGTAGGCTTTCCCGGATTTCTTCTCCTTCATCCGGGCAGCCCACTCCTCTGTCAGCAGCTACTTGCCGCTGTCCGTCGTTGCTGTGGCCTGCTCCATGCGCTCGTCCACCGCCCACAGACGGCCGGTCACATCCTCAATGGTGGGGGTGGACAGGTCTAGCATCGTCTCTATGGAGAGAGCGATCTGGATGTACTTCACCGGCACGGAGTGGAGGTACTTGGAGACCGCTTCCTCTTCGTTGATGGTGACGCCGTGGCTCCCCAGCTTGCTGATGAGCGACTGCAGGTGGAGGGAGAAGTCCTCCACCGATTCACCATCGCGGAACTTGAGGTTGGCATACTCCTGCTTCAGCAGCTGGGCCGTCGCCTTCTTTGCGCGGCCAGAACCGACGCGCATCGCAGCAATGGCCTCCCACGTCTCCTTAGCAGTTTTCTTCGCCCCCAATGGCTCCTTGTACTCCGTCGGCACAGCAGCGAGGATAGCCTCCATCGCTGACATGTCGTCTTCTTCGTTGTCGGTGCCTTTGTCAATGGCGTTCTAGAGCCGTCGGGCTCTGAGCTTGACCTTCATGGTCACCGTCCACTCACCATAGTTGGTGCGAGTCAGCGTCGGCCAACTGGTGCTGCTGACCTCCCGCACCGTGCGCACGACGACCTCCTGTCGTGGCTGGGCAGCCCTAGCAGCACTGCCGCCTCCCGCAGCTCCGCTGCTGTCGCCGGTCTCCGAGCCAGGTGCCATCACCGGCGATTAGTCCAGCGACGCAGACGAACCTGTACGGCTCTGATACCACTTGTTGGTCCCTCGCTTCCCTGCATAGGTAAGCAACTTGCTTACCAGCACACACACTCACTCACTATGGCTAGAGGTAGAAGAAGGGGTTGAGCTCAAGCACACACAGCACAAGCACCAGCGCTGGCCAGAGCTATGCTCTTTTGGTTTGTGGGTAGAGTATATACAACTCATGTACCAACTATAAGGTACACATGAGCATGGCTGAGTACAGCCCCAACTACTACTAGTACTAGCATTACAATTCCTACGTCAGCCCGCTACCAAGACATGGCTGATGTATTAGCTACCAACTAATGTACCAGTGGTGCCCTATTGCCCTACTACTACAGCAACTAGGACAGCAGAGAATGACCTATTGCCAAATCTGCTGTGCAGCAAACAAAGAGAGATCAGCAGCAGATTATGTCTTACACTCTCCTTTCCTTCTTTATGGCAATCTGTCTGGAAACTAATTTGGTGAAACATAATTGTATCATGTGAACCAGCTAAATTTGTTCAGAAAGGGGGTCAAGTCCCTTGAGGCTGTAGAGCCACATGTTAGGCTTGCTGCTGAGCAGCAACACATTGATCATCAGTTCAGCGCACTTGAGGAAGAGGATTACCTTGTTGAGGATGAGAATGATGAAGATTACAATGACAGTCATGATGGAGAGTTGTCTTTTGATTATGGAGAAAATAAGGAAGCTGAGGAATCTGGCAACGCTTCTAGGAATCATACAGAGGTACTAACATAGCTTGTTATTAAATTGTGGTCAAATATCCTACTGAACGATATGGAACACTGCTTGATGTGCAATGCCAACAATGACCCTGCCAACATGATCCTCAGTTGTTCTAGTGTAGTACTGTTATATCCTATCATTTTATGCTGTATATGTTTATGACAAATGTCACGAGCACAGCATTAGATTTAGTTATTTATTAGTCAATCATCCTTAGCTAGTGGATAATGGTAAATGGGAAGGTTCAAAATGAAGCCGACTCAAGTATGTATTTTAACTTCTTTTTTTCCCCTTTACCATTGACTGTTTCTTATTCGACTTTATGATTTCTGCAGGAATTTTTTAACAGAAGCAAAGAAGAGTATTCTTCTGTGCCACATGAAAGACAAAGAATTGTAAGTCAGTCAGCACCACTTTTTCCTGAGAAAAAGCTCAATACAGAAGAGAGAATAAAAGATTTGCGGCGTTCTGCGTCAAGGAAGTTAAATACTTATGTTTTGCCTACTCCAAATGACGTTCGAGCTACTTCTCAGATAGCATTAGGAAATCCTACTTCTGGACCTCTTGAGAGCAAAGGTGCCTTCCATTCATCTCCACTCCACCCATCTGCAGACATAAGAGATTTGAGAGACAATAAACTACCTAGTCCTACAAGATTGTCTAATGTACAGTCTGTGCTGAAAGAGAGCAATACCAATACAGCAGAAACAAGGAAAGTACTCCCAGTGGGTGATCTGGCTTTACCTGGCTATTATGACTTGAAGACTTCTGACAACAAAAAAGTGAAAAGAGGATCATTTTCTGGCCCAATAGCTTCCAGACCACGGTCAACAGAGAACATTGATGTTATTTCTGCAGCGCCCAGGCATAGCTCTGCACATCAGCCAGTGCACATGAGAGTATCCCCCGGCAACTCGCCACCACCCATTTCCTCACCAAAGATCAAGGAACTTCATGAGCTTCCTCGACCACCTGTTAATGCATCAAAAAATACAGCATTTCCCAGTTTAGTTGCCCACTCCGCCCCTTTGGTACCAAATCCTGCATCTTTGACACCCAAAGTTCAAGATCATTTTAGGGCAAGACAAACGCTGCCAAGTACTGCTTCACCTTTACCAGCTCCACCGCCTGGATCTATAGCCCGCAGTTTTTCTATACCTTCTAGGGGGAGAGCATCAGGTATTTCAGACAGTAAAGAGACAGAAGATCAGCAAGACAAGGGAGCTGCCAGAATGAGCCTTTCTTCTCTTCCTTCAGCACAAACATTCTTGGAAGATCGTCAGCAGTTGTCAGCAGCTGCTGAATCGGTTAGCAAAACATAGGGTGAGTTTTCACTACCTGTGATGTTATAACCTCACAGTTTTTTAACATTGGTGCACCTGCAGCCTCCACAGAAGCTGTTGTTCTATGTTCATTGATCATAATAATAATATTTGACGAAGTTGAATAATCCTTTTTTAAGAAAAAAATGCAAAATAGATGCAAAGCTGACATTCCTATGTGAGGGAAACAAGCAATATGAATGATTTAGGTTGGGTTGTATGAGCTTCTACCAGCAGTTGGAAGTTCTCATTGGTCATGACAGAAGGCATAACTGTATTTTCATATTTTTTAGACCAAAGGCATTGGCCCTGCTTATATTGAAAGCATACTAAGGTAACTGCTGGGGATACCAGCTTACAGTTTAGCATAAGCAACTACAAGTTTTAGAAAGATAGACATAACCACGCCATAACAGAAGTGGCTCAGGCAGAAATAAAAGAAAGACAAGAACTTTAGACTTCATATGCGCCTTGGTCACCAACGAATTCGGACAAACACCTCTAAAGTGCCTGGGATCCATACACCCGCATCTTCCTTCTCCAGATGTAACCATCTTCAGGTCAACAGCTTCACCACACCTTCAGTCCCTCCTGCAGCTTCAGTATGGTATCCTCCATCATCAACACCTCTTGTGGCTTCAGCAACTTCTTCCACTGTGATAAGAAACCCAAAACTTTGTAAGCAATTGACTTAGGAGATTTGATTAGATGATTGTTGAAAACCCAGTCATTCCTAGTCTCCCATAGACTCCAGGCCACCCCTGCTAGAATGAAGAAAGCAATGAAAATATTCTTTTGACCCAACCCAACACCCATCTTATTCTCATAATCTTGGAGTGAGGTGGGTCTTTCAGTGCACCTCATACTAATCCTAACCCACACCCAGATGATCTGTGCAATATTACAATTGAAGAACAGGTGGTTCCTAGTTTCTAATTTCCCACAGTATTTGCAGTTTTGCACTTCTCTGACCCTTTGCCTTTCCTAATCTTCAGTTGTTCACCAGTGAGTACTCTGTGATGCCATAACATCCAAAGAAAAATCTTGAGGGGCAGCTTTACTTTCCACATCCCTGTCATCCTCAAATCAACTGTGCCACTATGTTTCATAAACCTGTATAGAGATTTGGTTGAGAATTTGCCAGAAGTTTCAAGTGCCCAGACAACAGTGTCTTCCTCTGCTGAAAAAACTGCTAACTCTAAAGCCTCCTGTAGTTCATTCCACTCAGCCACCGCATCATTACCTAATCTTCTTCTTAAATCCAAATTCCACTCCACCTCTTTTAGTTCCATCACAGACCAGTCCTGTTGTCTACTGATCCTAAACAGTTTTGGGAATTTAATTTTAAGTGGACAGTTCCCCAACCACACATCATGCCAAAATCTGATCTTCTTTCCATTGCCTAATCTCCACTTTGTCCCTCTCTCATACCATTCTCTAGCCTTCCCCAAACCTTGCCAGAACTGAGAGGCACCCCTTTGGTTGGTTTGACAGAAGCTTCTGTCCTTTAGGTATTTTCTTCTAAGCACCTCTAGAGCCATACTGTTATCACCTCTATCAAGTCTGAAAATCCACTTAGCCAGCAACACAGTATTCATGGTTCTGGTATCCACAAATCCAAGACCTCCAAATTCTTTGGGTACTGCCAGAGCTTCCCACTTAATCATATGGTATTTCTTTTTGTTGCCAACCCCTTCCCAGAGAAATCTGCCTCTAGCAGTGTCCAGCCTCTTATGAGTACCCTCATGCAACCAATAGAACCCCATTGAATACATAGGGATGCTAGTTAAGCTTGAGTTTATGAAGATGGATCTACCACCATGAGACGATTGCATTTCCAAGTCTCTAATCTCTTTTCAACCTTATTAGCAGAGATACTGAGCTCCTCTTTAGATAACCTCTTGTAGCTTATTGGAAGACCTAAATATTTCATAGGGAAATGTCCAAGCTTACAGTTGAAGGAATTAGCTATCTCTTCTGCTTCCACCTCATTAATGCCCAGAGTAAACACCTCTGACTTGTAGTTTATTTTGATGCCTGACACCTCCTCATAGCTGTATTTTCATGTGTAACGTAACTTTGCAATTTTTTCTCCATGTAATTCATCAATTCCCTTGGATTCTGCAAACATATAAATCACAGGGCCCCAGCATATAAGAAATACACCAAACATGTCTTTCTGCTTTAACCAAAAAACTAGCTGTAGACACCTGCTTGGTGGCTTGCTAATCAACAGCACGGTACTGCAATGTTGGACTGACCTTATTCTCTATTACCTTCCATGTGCAGAGTATTCAGTGTGAAGGTGGATTATTATCATTATCAAGCGGCTTGCTCTTCCTGGAAGAATGTTGTACATATTAGCATGTGAACTCTGGCCAGTATCGCGGAAGTAGTTGGTGTTTCGCGTGCCCTTTGGTTAAGATGTAGTCTGTGCAAATAATGGGTTTGCGGAAATATAAGCCCCATCTTTCTCACCGATTGATTGATTGATTGGCGCGAGATTTGTTGTTGTGCCCTTGAACTTGTTTGCTTTGAAGCGAGTTCAGAGTGCCATCTGTTTTCTGCAGCTTATGTAATTATCACCTGGTTTCCCGTGCTTATGTAATTAATTATCATCTGTTTCACCACCCAAAGGGCTGTGTTGTCGTATTGGCTCTACATACAGCCGTTTCGTTGCTGGTTTGTGAAGAAGTACTGCTGGCTGGTTTGTGTGAGAGAAAAATACTGTTCCGGTTGAAAATTTACGATCGTTTACGACAAACCATAGCCAAACGAACAGGCTAAGCCTTGGGTTTGGCTCCACAATTGCTTCTACTTGACTCGTTGGCTAACAGCAAAAGTTTTGCCAGTTATGTTTTCTCTTTTTGACCTCGTGAACCATTTGGGATTCAAATAAATTTATGCTCAGCGTGTACAGATGTATGCTGCACTACCGTACATTACAGAGGCATCCAGAGCAGCAGTAGCATGTTCGCTTGGGCCTTGTTCTCTTTGCAAATTTTTGCAACCCGATGAATAGTACCACTTTTGTCTTATTTGGCAAATATTGTCCAATCGTAGACCAACTAGGCTCAAAAGATTCATCTCGTGATTTCCAACTAAACTGTGTAATTAGTTATTTTTTTTACCTACATTTAATACTCCATGCAAGCGGTTAAAAATTGATGTGATGGAGAGAGAGTGAAAAAACTTGGAATTTGGTGTGCATCTAAACAAGGCCTTGGTTGTATTTAGCTTATAAGTTATGACTTATCAGCTAACGAATAATATTTTTCCCTCACACTAAATCAGTCATGATTTATCAGTCAAACACGCTCAAACGAACATGGCGAGAATAACCCTGTTAGACAGTCAGCTGTCAAAAGCATAACCTGCGAGTCCACGGACGTGCAGAAAAGAAGTGCATAGCATCCACATTCGACATCCACCAAACTTGTAAAAAGGTGTAGAATGACCCTGTTCCCTGGATGCGGTTCTACCAATCCGTTCTCCATCGACTAGGGTGCGACTCTGGGTTGGCAAACTCGCAGGATTCTACGGCTTGGTGGTTTTGAGCAAACCATGACATGATCGAGCAGGCCCAGTGAGTCATGGAGCAACAGTACGAGTGCAAGTAATCAACAGCAACGCCCACCCGAACCTTTACAGAAGAGGATTGGCATGCGACTATGCACCTTGACCACACGCCTGGATTATGACTTTATGAGCAGCGGCGGCAAGAGGTCGCTGGGTGGGCCAGGCAGCGGTTTGGTACAGGTATCAGAGGACCCACGAAAAATGCTCTGCGACGCCATCGCCCTGTTCGTTTAGACTGATTTGGCTTATAAGCTATGACTGAAAGTACTGTTGGCTGGTTTGGTGTGAGAGAAAAATACTATTCGTTGGCTAATAAGCCATGACTTATAAGCCAAATACGACCGAGCGAACAGGCTGCCATGTCTGTTGCTACAACGTGCAAGTTTTTCTATTTCACCAGCTCACGATGGTCTTTTACTCTTCTGTCCACTTGTCCGCGATATGAACGATCGAAACGGACCTTCCGTGAATTAATTCTCCGCGGCACGGCACGGCATGGCGCAGCTTTCAAGGCACGCAACGTGACGGTCTTGGCCACCATGTGCTTGGTCGGTGGCCACGCGCCCACGAGCATCTCTTTACGCTTTCCTATTCCTATATGCGGCTTCTTTTTGTTCTTCGTTATATAAAGAGAAGAGAAGAGCACGTCGAATACGGAATGCCGGCCGCAAAACCACTTGCTTTTTCAAGGGATTTTTGCCTTTTGAACTTTGATGAAGTCTTTGATGATGATCTTCGGGGATGAATAGTTCAAATTCTGTTACTTTTAGCATCGTAACTCCTTTACTGAAATACTGTAGTATATTTGTTTCAACGAGCTAGATGCATTCTTACACATAAGAATTGTTTATCTAGATAGCACGAGTAGACCTAGTAAATACCAGATGATAAAGTTTCTTGACAGGAGAACGAAAACACAAACAAAGCAGGTGAAAAAAAGTTTTATTAAACATTATTTTAATTTATTGAAATATGGTGTATTCTAGCCATTCTGACACATATACCCCTCACTTATATAACCTCCTAATTTATTGAAATCTGATTCTATTCCTCATGACTAAAGGATAAACTCTCACTCCCTTATACAAAAATATGACAAGTACTAAATAAAGTATTTCTATTTAGTAAACATTACTCCCTTCATTTCAAATTATAAGACATTCCAAGAATCTTAGAGAGTCAAAGCATTTCAAGTTTGATCAAAATTATAGAGAAAATTACAAATATTTATGACATCAAATAGGTATATTATGAAAATATAATTAATAAAGAATCTAATAGTACTTAGTTGGCACCATAAATGTTATTATCTTATCATATAAATTTGGTCAAACTTAATATGGTTTGGCTTTCCAAGATTCTTAGAATGACTTATAATTTAGGACGGATGGAGTACTTTTTTTCCCCCTAAATCTCTATATTTTAGAACAAATTTCAAATGTGCGCTATATTGAATTACATGACGAAAGGAGTAATATTTTTTTTTAGTTACCGAGTTTACACTTTCACCAAAATTATTGATCCGATATTTTCTGAATTGGGTCGATTTTTATATCTTGTTGATTCAACATTTTTAGGTATTCAACTTTTCTATATGTGAGACGTGTTTTTCCATTCGTCTGTTGCCTTAACCTGTCTAGCACGCTCCTACGATCGGCCTACGCGATCTTTCTCTCTCTCGGTTCCCCCGTTCCCCCGCGTGCGCTCTCTCTCGCGCGCGATCTCTCTCGTGGCGACGAGTGGGCGCCCGCCGCCACCCCCCACGCCCAGGTCGTCGTCGGGCCCTTAGCCAGGTGCTTTTCGGGGCCTTCGCCGGCGACGAGCACACATCAGGTACGCATACACTTTCTCTTTGTCCCCTACCTTATGCTATTTGTCTTCGGATCTGATCTAATTACAAGTGTATTATACATGCAGTATTATGCCTACTAACTTTGATTTTTTTGGGCAATGTATACATCTATGTCCTTTACACGATCCGCCCCTGATCGTGACAGCATTTGATTGTATCTGCAGGATTGTAATCTGATCTCTTGGTATGGTTCATACCAGGTTCCTCGTTGCTTGTTCAGACTCCGAGTTGTGCTTCATCTGGAACTCTTGCAGTATCTATAGGAGCATGATTGGTGGTGGGGCATCCTCACTAGACAATAGTGATGGGTTTGTGTCAGAAATCTCAATGTAGCTCTAAGGTATAACCCTCTCGTGTTGATAGAGTGAGATTCATTATTAGTGGAACCTTCTTGTGTAGGTATCACTCGAAGTTGGAAAGTAAGAGCACATTGATTTCTCAGTAGCATCTGAATAAACACCTCTTGGTAGTAAGAGCACGTTCATTTTTCTGTTTGCTGAAGTAAACGATTTTGGGATGGGTCTGCCTCAAATTCATGTGGTTAAGGAGGAAGAGCCTACTGAAGGGAGTACACCTGTAACCGGTCCTAGTTTCAGTGTCAGCAACCTCTGCGATTCAGGTAAACTTAGTGTGGGAAGCTCAAGTAGAAGTTGGTTTCAGGACCCATCCGTCAGCGATTTCAAGAGAAAATTTGCATCTGGTGCTTCGAATGGATTAAATAGTCATATCAGAACCAGACATGCTGTTGATGATCCTGCAGGCTACCAAGGCCTAAATCCTGAATCGAGAGATCCAAGTTATAGATCATGCCCTAAAATCAGATCTCCTGTACAGATGCCTGCAATGAGGGTTGTTGGGTTTGATTCTGCAACTGCTGATTCCACAGGTGGCCCTGATATAATGGTAGCTCACAAAATGCATTCATCTTTAGTCATTGGTAATTGTGATTCATCAGTTGAACATCACGAAGTTCAGGCAAGGAAAAGGGTGCTGTCACCATTAACTAATGTGCTTCCTGCTGGACAGTTCCATGGTGATGCGCTGAATATTGGTTCCATTGATGAAAAAAATCAGCACCCTCATTGTGTTCAGCTCTCTTATTCTGGCTTCCATGACAGTAAAAAGGCTAACACCAGAACTCTTTATTCCTTTCAGCCATCTACTAGGCCAGCATTGAGATACTCTGATTGGAGTACAGAACAGGGGTTCTGTAAGTTTAGTTCTAATACATTCACTGATGGTCCTTTGCTTGAGGGTAGGGAATTCTTTTCATGCTCAGATCAACCAGGAGCTGAAAGGATTATGAATCTTGCAAAGGTGTCTACACCGCCTGCAAGATTATCACATTCACCTCCACTCACTCTTTCTCCACTTTGTCCAAAATGGATGCATAGAATGAAGGCTGCAAGAGCTCAGAGGGATTTGACGGGACAAATTGAAAATGATTTCCTTGGCTTGAAGGAAATGGGAAGATCAAATTTTGACGATTATTCAGAATATGTTAGTACAATAAGGATGAGGGATATGCTAGATGAAACCAGTATTTTGAATGATGGATTTGAGACAATGACCCCTAAGAGAAGTTTTCATATGAGATACCAATGCTTGGGTCCAGAATCTGCCCCTGTGTCTGCGCACATTGGATGTATTAATAGTTTGAACCTCCTACCTGTAAGGAGGTCATTGGTTGGCTCCTTTGAGGAATCTCTCTTATCTGGTCGCTATTTATGTGGAAAGGACAATCAGGTTCGCCATGTTTTCTGTTACTCCTAATTACTCAGCTTTTGTAGAGGATACTAGACATGTTTTTCGTCTTAATGCCATCCTCTCATAATACAGAGTATTGATGGTTTTCTGGCTATTCTTAATGTGACTGGCGGTAGCTTTTCTCCCCCAACTCAGAAGCTTCCATTTACAGTGACCAGCATTGATAAAGATAGCTCCTTGTTGTACTACTCATCGATTGATCTTGCGGGGAGGTTGCCTACAAACAATAGCAAAGGCCCAAAATTCAAAAGAAGCCTCAGTAACAGTGATTCGCGGTCAACAAATAGTCGGTTACGCATCCCTGTGAAAGGCCGCATACAACTGGTACTGAATTGCTTGACCTTATAATAAAATTTGATCAGGATGTACTGTGCCTGTGCATCTTTTATTATATTTTTCGAATTAGTGTAGTACCAAGATATTTATTCAGTTAATGATAATATAGTAGAAAGTTGTATGATTTATCTCAGTTTTAAACCTATTGTAATGGGAAGTTTTCTGCAAGTTTAACTACCCATTCTTACTAAGATCTGCACATTTTACTTTGAGTTGCTATAGTTTGTCATGGGAAGTGAATGCATTATAGTTTGTTTATTTTTTTACAATTTATTGTGTATGCATGAAATATGTAAATAGCATTTGCTTTGATCAATTCACATGATAGCACATCACACTTTGAGCTTGAAGTCTGCATTCTCTTGTGTATTCAATGAAACATTGTGAACCCAGTGACTCAATGTAGGAGGAAATTGCAGAACCTTAGAACCTTTCTGTTTCTGGGAAAATAGGGCTCTTACTATTTTGGAGTTCAGTTCCATATTATAAAATTTGATAGGACATGGAGCTCATGATGCTACTTTAGCACCGACATTTGGAGCTTACTTTGAGACTTACCTAGTGCACCTTACTACCTTCAAACTGCTTTTGTTTTGATAGTTCTTTGAAAGTTCTATCAGATTGTCACATTTCTATTGATTTGCCTATTTCACTTCAAGAAAAACTATCTACTCTCGGCAGGTGGTCAGCAACCCAGAGAAGACACCACTTCACACCTTCTTCTGTACCTATGATTTGAGTGACATGCCTGCTGGAACCAAGGTATGAGAAATCAATATTATGTTATTGCCTTTAAAATGTATTTTGATTTGATATTAACTGCAGTTTTTTGCTCATTGTATTTTATACCATGGCACATTTTTTTCTTATTTTCACATGGTATGATGGTAAAAAAAAATATTGCATTGCCATACTCTATTGTGATTGTCGATTTTGTTAATTATTAAAATTGCATTGCCATACTCATTGAGACACATATGTGGTTCATCCATTCATGAACTTAATATTTTAGGTACATAGACAACAAGAAAAACGTTTGGGTATCCCATCTCCGTGATTTTATGCAAAGGTGGGGCGGGGGGGTTGGTGTGCGTGGCCCATTCAACAATTACTAAGCGCCAGCAAATTATTTTCTGCTCTATAGTGAAAGTATTGCTACTTCAATTTGTACTAGTATATGGTATATTAGGTGGGTGGAAATGAGTAAATTGTGATGTATCACGAGTTGCAAGTGCTTATCATCTGGTACCATCTTGCAAGTATCTTCAGCTGCATGAATAATGTCTGCCTTTTCTATGAAATGGATGTTTTGTGCCTTCCTTTAGCAGTCACATTTATTTAGTTTTATCTCTTTACTTCCTTTTCTCAAATCCATTTTCTGATATTGTAAAATGGGACAGACTTTCATGCGGCAAAAGATCACTCTATCCTCTGCTTCTCCCTCTTATCCGAGCAGAGAAGGAAGCAAGGCCAGTGATGTAAAGGTCGAGTCAGTCCAGTGTGGAAGTGAACTTATAGAGTGCGGTGCTCTATTTTCTGAATGTAATAAAGCCAATACCATTGGTAGATAAATCCAAACTATGAAGTTCAAGTTAATTAAAAGTTGTTTTAACTTTGCAGGTTCGGACAATAGGCATGAGTCGGAAAAGGGAGGTTCTGCAGATATGGAATGTTTTCCCATGGAATGTGACGTTAGAGAACCAAATGAATACGCTACTTCGGGGAATTCAGAAAATGATGCTAATGCTGAGGGTTGCTGCTGTCAAATAGACTCATGTCAAGGTGGAAAGAAATCTTTCAGCGGATCTCCCAAGGTCAATGACATTCCAGCTCGAGGGGTTCTGCGGTATGCTTTGCACTTACGTTTTCTGAGCCCCTTCTCCAAGAACCCATCAAAATCAAGGCAGCGTTGCAAATTGGATCTGTCATCAGAACCGCACACTCGCAGTAGGACTGAGGAAGAGAGAAGATTTTATCTTTACAATGATATTAGAGTTGTCTTCCCTCAGAGGCACTCGGACTCTGACGAAGGCAAGGTATGTGGCAATTAAGATACACATCTAGGCCGTCTATTTCACCCTTGTAGCACAACTTTAGTTTAAGCACCATTACAAATTATATTTGACTTTAACTTCATCTTAAGTCAAAATTTTCTAACTTTGACCTAGCTAATAGAACAATGCACAAACATCTTTAACATAAAATTAGTTTCACTAAATTTTACATGAGATATGTTTTTTTAATGTATCTATTTGAAATTTGTACATGTTTTTTTTTTAAGTTGGTCAAAGCTAGATTTATGACTTAGAGACAAAGATACAGTGAACTATAATTTAGAACAGAGGTAGTAATTCTTTATGAAGTAGTGAGACTGGATCATCTGAATGTAACATAAAAAGTATTCTAGGATCCACAAAACTACCGGCCGTGGGTTGCAAAAATTAAGTTATTATGTTGTTGCTTGACTCTGTCATTCTAATATATTTGCATTATTACTGGATGTGTCACTTTGGCAACTTTTAAATATGTTTCATAAAGCTTAGCACATGATGCCATTTAGACTGACTGCTACAGATGTTCCATTTGGCTGCTTGGTTGGATACACGGCTAACTGATTCTTTTGTTTTCTCCTTGTAGCTGCGTGTTGAGCATGACTTCCCAGCAAATCCCAAGTATTTTGACATAAGCAACTAAGAACTCCTTGCACACTCATGAAGCTGCAGATAAAATTTGTACATACCATTTCGTCGCTAACTTATCAAACTTAACTGCTTATTGCCATTGATGTACAGACTAACCTTCCAATGAAATTCTTTATTTCATCTATTTTTTTTTATGTATAAGGTAGTGTTTGGATCCACACCAGCTTCCACAAGCTGGTAGAGGCTTGGTTATCTCAGCTTGTGAGATTTGTGTAAGCTGGATGGTCGTGGGCTGTTTGGATACCAAAGCTGGAATCTGCTAGGATCCAAACAGGCACGGATTATTCTTCATTTCTCCTCTTGACTTGAGCCCATGCGCTTTTTGCAATGGTATGAGCCAAAAATAAATACTTCTGCTGCTGTACTTACACATTTACAGTTATGAGCTATGACCTGAATTCTATTGTCCTCTATATGCTTTGAATGGGCTATGATAAAATCAGTCAACATAATTCTTTTGAGGACAATAGTAACACGCAACTTTGTTGACAAGAAAAAAAAATAAGAATAATATAAACAATTGGTACTCTCGAAGTCGAACATTTCACGGTTCAAATGTGGGTATTTCTGCATTGGGACCATGAAGTGCTTGGTAGAGAAGCCTGGACAGCATACTCCTGTAAGGGTCCTCTTCCCTTTTCTCCTTCAGATAGCTGATACAGCTCTCCACCTCAGATTTGACTTGCAAATAGAGGCGCTGCGCCTCCTCTTTGTCTCGTAGTCCTTTCTCCCTATGCAAGCAAGCAAACTGAATGAGAATTTTGTTCACCCAACTTCAGGTTTGAGAAATGCACAAACGCATGTGCATTTATCGGTATCCAACATAGTGAGTAACCATGTCAAAAGTTGACACTGAGAAAATGCCTTAAGAATACAGATCGAGGGGATATAATGAAATGTTTTTGAATCTGTACCTCTTGTTTCAATAGGCTTTCCAAAGACGAAGTAAAACCGCCCTGGTACCTTCGGCGCAAGCACTAGGGGGTGCATTCTTTGATCTTTTACCTCTCCCATGGAATCAGTCCTATGAAACCGCAGCACAGCATCAGGACCTCAAACTTAACCCGAAAGGGGAGAAAAAGGAAAAAGAAAAAAAAATGGACTCGAATTTGGGCAGCATACCTTAGCTTCAGTCCATTGTGGTTTAAGGCGTTGTCGAGCATATGATAGAAGGGAACCTTCTGAAGATCGTTGTAGTCTAACAACAACTGAGATGGTAAACTGAGTAACTGACCATCATCCAATTCCAAGCCATGTTCTTCAACTGAGATAGCGTACTGGAAGGTACTGTAGCACTTACATGGCATATATCGTCTTCTCCCACAACTCCAAATGGTATGATCGTTGCTCCAATCCTGGATGCCATTCTCACGAATTCAGGTTGCTCCGACCAAAACAACTTGTACTCCTCTCCCTGAAAACCACAGCCTTCAGACATATATATAACATAGATAGGAGAAACAAAATCACATATTGCCAAACCATCACCTTTCTATGAAGCGCTTCCCGTGCACCTCCTGGATACAGCAGCACAAACTCCTTGTCTGCAAGGAGCTTGTAAAAATTGGCACCTGTGACCGGCACCGCCCCCATGATCCGGTGCAGATCGAAGTGTGCCGAGTCGGGCATCAACTGCTCGGTGCTCTTGTCAAACATGAAGGGGTGAGCCAAGCCCCGGATGTGGACTCCGGTGCTGCTCAGGATCCCTGTGACCATAGGTCCAAGCTCAAACCCCAGGAGCATGTGGTACCCAACCAGCACGGCAGGGCCCTCCCTTGGCAGCCCTGCCAGGCCCCTCACTATCTTCCCATCAGGCAGCGTTGATAGCATCACCGGGTCAGTGACAAGCTTTAGGATCCTGGAAGTTTTTACAAGCTCAGCCTGTTTGGAGGCAATTTCATAGGATTCCTATACCGTTTCTTGTAATGGTACCTGTCGTGATTGATAGCTTGTTGGAACTCATCTGGAGTAGGAGGTAGGTAGTCTGAAACGAAGTCTGTCTTCTTGGTGCGGCGGTAGTACCCAGCTCCCTTGATGGTTGTCGCGAGCTCGAAATCGGCTTCCTTTTAGGAATTGTGAAATTGTTGATCAAAGCTTAGAAATGCTTGCAAACAGGAAGTAGCTGTGGCCATAACCCACAGGAACACAAATGAAAGGCAAAACTTGGCAAACTAGGTGGAACTCGATTTTATGATATTCTGGAATATAGGAACAATCTAGTCATGTAGAAGAGAGAAAAAAATTTAGCTACCATACCAGTAAGATTTTGTGGCCATTATCTCTGAAAAGACGTGTTCTGCATTTCTCTAGAGCACCACGTAGCCTCTCAGCCTCTTGGCTGCTTGGTAGCAGTTCATCATTTCCACTGGCAAAATAAAATCAAATTCAGACCCAGTCTGAAGTAGGAAAAATATTTTCAAAGTTATTTTTTTCCATGGTTCTCCATGTAAAGCATGTTTCATACTCTGTTCTTCTCAACCTTTTACATGGTTCTCCATGGAAACTGTTTCTGTGCGTGGCTTTCTGTAAGTCTTACCTGGCTAGCACCAAAGTCTGGGCCTTGACTGCATGTAAACGGGAATTGACAAATGATGATGCTGTCTTCAACATTTTTAACTTACAAACAATAGACTCCTTTGTCAGAACATCAACCAAAACCTGTAAGAAAAAAAACGTAATAAAGAAGGATTAAGTCATCGCGAAGAAAGAAACTGAATTGCTGTATGTCCAACAAAACAACAAATTCATTCTGATTTGAACTGGAAAGAAATAGAATCAGAATATTCATAAAATGATCTCCAAAAACAAATAGTAGAAATAGCTTCACATGTTTTGACACTTTTGAACTCACCATAAGGGAATCCAGCAAATTGGATGTGATCTCTGATAATGTCTGACCAGCTTCTTCTAGAGAGAAGCCACGTCCTACAAAAGTTGATGGCATCTTCATGAAGTTCCCTAAGTATTAAACTATGATAAGAACTCGGCAGATACAAATCAAATGATTATACTTTTGATGCTATTTTCAACTATCCCTAGACATTGTGCTATGTGAAGTGAAGAATTATAAGAAGCGTATCTGACAACAAGGGATAGTGAATGCGTCTTATACATTGAATAAACAGATCATGCCTGCGTCTCATCCATATATTTTTTTGGCAAAAGTACTTGCCTCCCGAGTAAATCAAAGAAGAATTCCCCAAAAACATAATTTTAGTGTAGAATTACTAAAAAAATTAGTGTAGAGAAGTAAATAAAACCTGTCAGAAAATTTAGCAGCTGTGGAGTGGTCAAATGGAAGGGTTCAGGGACCAAATCCAAGAAGGTTGAGAGAGTTTGCAACTGTGACCTATGGAATGATGTTCCTGCAAGATGAGGCAAACTCCATGAGTTAGAAAAGAAAGTCATATCACTGGAAACATTCGAGAAACACAAAAAAACATAGTCAATTGCAGCCTGACCTGGGTTTACTAGGATCAATACCAGGTCTATGTCTGGGTTTCGTGCAGCCACGGCTAGAGCGATGCATGCTCCTACTGATTCTCCAACAAGATACACTGGTCTGTCTGGTGCTCTTGAGCGCTCTGATTTTACTGCTGGTCTGCTTATGAGCAAGTCGCTTCTATTTTAGTGCTGTGCTGTGCTGTGCTCTGTTCACAACGCGCGCAAATACTATTAGTATTACTGCTGGTCTGAACTATTGTATGGCCACCAAACCAAGTCTTGTTAGTGCCTTCAAAATGTCATATCCTGCACTGCTGCCTGAACTCAAATGACAATGACACACAGCAAGGTTTGAATGGTAGATGGCTATGTATACAGGCTAAAAAGGATACGCTGTAAGCCTGTAACAAAGATCAATACGGCAATAGCTATGTCATTGCCAATGACACAGTTGCAAATGACAATGACACACAACAAGGTTAGAATGGTAGATGGCAATGTATACAGGCTGAAAAGGATGTTATACTGTAACAAAGATCAATACGGCAATAGCTCCACATGGGATTATTAATTATTCAGGTTAAACTTACTACCAGCTGTGCTTTGTCAGAGTCCAGTTGCAAAAGAATATTGAAACGGCGGATTTATAGACCGCACATGGGAATGACTGAACGAGATAGTACTTTTTTGTTACCAAGCAAAGGAAAATGGTCGTACGTACCGGGCAGGTAGAGCAGCGTGGGTGCGGCGGGGACGCGGCCGCTGGCGACACCCCCGCACTCCAGCGGCGAGAACCACCGCGGCCGGCCGCCGTCCTTTTGCTATATCTGTGGGCGTTACAGTGATGCACAGCACAGCACAGCATAGCACCGACGACGATGGCAATCTGTGGAGTCAACGAGCTCGCAACCTTTTTTCCTTGTCCAACCGGGCAAAAGACAATGTACACCCAAATCCATCAAACGTAGTGCTAGCTGTTAGGCGACGTAACTACACGAGTACCTGTCTACCCACCAGTCGGCAGTAGCGACGAGATCGAGAGAGAGTGTGTATAGAGTATTAAATGGTACAATTGCACAGTTTAGTTGGAAATCACGAGATGACAATCGGGTTGAAACATGGAGGCGAACCGGAGGCGTACGTGCGTGGCCGTCCACGAGCAGCCGAGCAGAAATCTGGCTAGCTGTGTTAACTACGACGAGTTACCGACGTTGCAGCAGCGGTGGTGACAAGGCCAGCGCTCTGTGAACCACTGAGTCAAATATCTGTTGCGCGTAGTACCGACGACGATGGCTTTCTGTGGAGTCAACGAGTTCGCAACCGTCCAACCGGGCAAAAGACAATGTACACCCAACGGTGATGTTAGGCGACGTAACTACACGAGTACCTGTCTACCCACCAGTCGGCAGTAGCGACACATCATCGACGCGCACCCGCCGATTCTGTAATCTGTACTTACAGTACTGATGAGGCAGGTGACGACATGTGTACACTCTAGTTTTGGGAGAAGAAAAATGCTCGCGTTTGGTCGCCGGTAGCCCCACGTCGAAACCTGAGGCAGGCAACCTACCACCATCGGATACAAAGCTTCCGTGCGAATATTGAGTATCAGACCGATCGATATACTCCATCCGTCAAAGAAATACAATTTTAGCAAAATATTATATTTTTAATATCTTAAATTTAATTAATTATAGATAAAAAAGTATAAATATTTATATATGATATAAAATGAATATCATTAACTTAATTCTAAAATATATTTTCATAATAAATCAATTTAGAGTCATAAATGTGAATATCATTTACTATAAAATTGGTCAAACATGAATCACTTTAACTGGACTAACCCATAATTGCATTCATTTTGGAATAGAGGGAGTATGAATGAGAGGAGCACACGCGCAGCGAGCATGGTTCAATGCTTAGACCGATCATGAATGCATAGTTTCGTGAAATGCACTCAGCATGCATGTAGGTTTAACAATTCTTTTGAGTTTGGGAAATACAACATCGGTACTAGGGGAATCGAAAATGAAATCATTAGATAGAAAATACATCCATAACTATTGGGAATCGATCATTCTAGTCAATATAAGGAAATGACATATGGACTCTTGCTACATTGTACGGAGGAGTCGGAGCCAGTAAAACAAAACAAAAAAGCTTCATCAACTTCTAGTCCACTTTAAGAAGAGAGAAAACAACTCCTCACTACAATGTACAAAGGAGCTTGAGTCGGGGCGTCCGGAACTCTACCAAATAGGAGTCATAGTATGGCATAAGACAATTTAAGCAACGCATGGAACGAAGCGAGATAATATCTAAGAGATTGGAAGGAGAATATGGTCAAACGCTTTTGTTAGATTGGGTTGCACTATGTAAAAAAAGACACGTCTCAACCGGCTTTGCAATTGCGCCTCTTATCCTCGGAAGCTTTTGTTGATTTTTTTTTGTGACAGCGGAAGCTTTTGTTGATGGTTGTGTTGGGAGGGGGAGGAACATGAAAAAACCTATAAAACTTAATTAAAAACTAATATATATTTTTCTTTCTTATCTCTTCACCGTTGACCTTAATATTAAACAAACATCTCCGTATTATTTCTTTTTTTTTTTTTTCCGGTAAATGTCAAAAACAAATAATAAATGTAACATAAATAATAAATATAATATTATGGGTCTTTTTTTAGCCCTTGACACCTTCCTTAATAATGAAAATTTCCACGTCAAGTTATTGATATAGTTTTTATTAGTTGGACCTGACTGAAAATTTTTATACTCATTTTTTATAAATATTTAATTTTTTTCTCGTTGTAACGTACTACAAACATATTTGCTACTAATAGAAATAGAAAAGAGCTAGTATCTGACACCATCTCGCTACGTCGGGATAGCAGGATCGCTTGACCCAGACCCGGAGCAGGTGTGCAAATTAAAGCCCATGAGTTTTTGGGCCAATCCGTGGCATTCTCGAATCGACGGGCCAGGCTAACTGAGTCCAACGCTGTCCGGAAGCAAAATTACTCCTGCATGAACTGCCCGGTGAGTCCGAGTTTCCTCTTTGAAGCATAATAATGCGAGAAATCTATTTCTGCATTTAATGATAGTATTAGTTTTTTTTAGTAAACGACCTGGAGGTGCTCATATAGAGTGGAGTGTGTCCAACGCATACGGAAGCAAAATTACGTGTGTGTGTGTGTGAGTCTCTCTTTCTCTCTCTCTCTCTAATGCTCTCTCTCTCTTTCTGCATTTAATGATAGTATTAGTTTTTTTATATATATATATATATATATATATATATATATATATATATATATATATATATATATATATATATATAGGGTAAGGCTATTCTACAGCTGGCCATAGAATAACTTATTTTATAGCCACCTTGATTTACGATAATGTTTGTACCAATTTACGATAACATGAATATGTATTTACGATACTCATGTTACTATAACACACAGTGATATTTACCATAATGTTATAGTAAATCACTTAGTAAGGAGTTATTGTAGTCTAGTAAATCGGCATGGTAATTATCGTAACTTATTTTATGGCTAGCTGCAGAACAGTAGTTATATATATATATATATATATATATATATATATGTGTGTGTGTGTGTGTACAAGTATATCTATGTTTATAATGAGATAAAAAAAAGAAAAGAAATTAGAACTATTAAAACCATCCATATTTGGGCCCTCCGGTTGGTTTCAACGGCGGTCGTCTATGACACCATGTGCCTCGTCTGACTTAGCGTCATATGTTAGGGCGCGATTGGTTTCCTGTATCTGGGCTGGCCAGGTCCACGGGATGCGACAGTAGTGTGATTAGATGACTACAACAACCTTTAGCTAGGTTTCCGAGATGCAACAGGCAACAACAGCCCCTCAACCAGGCTCACGAGAAACGAAATTCTCTGACGTTTCTACTAGCGCTCGCCACATGCGACAAGGGCTAACAACTTGCACCGTATAAGACTGTCTCCTACCATCCGTTACCTAAAATATAGACTCGTTTTACGTTTAGGAAGCGCTACAAGAAAGAGTTTAATATCTATTTTTTGTTTTCTCCAAAAATGAGAACTATTTCTGCAAATGAGTCTCCAGGAAAGATGATACTCAGATTTAGATTATAACTCTCCTGATACCCAAAATATGTCTTCCATATAGACACTCTGTGGAAGACTATATGTATTATATTGGATGCCCATTTTAAATTTGGATCTCCTGATGGTTATCCTGTTGGAGACAGCCGAGAGAGGGTGCGGGGTAAGGAGCTCCATTATTAGTGCAACCAATCAAATTCTATCCGAGACTTGGTTGGATGGGCACGCCAACCAAACAAAAGGTTGTTGCACCTGATCAGCCTGGTCATGGTGGGTCTGCATCGTTGGGACAGGCCAGGCTCCGTTGTGAAGCAAACCAACAATTTTGCCCTTAAAATAGGAGTTGGCCGGGTTCATCACTGAGCATAAGGACAGACAAAGAAAA